AAATGAAAATGAAAATAAAACATATTTGAGGAAAAAAAATTAAATTCAAAACCAACAAGCAGTCTTGTTTTTCCTCTTTCCCCGCCAGGTTGGCCCAAGCTCCACGTCCAGGTGTGGCACCAGGATGCTTTTGGGCGCACCGAACTGTACGGCTACGGCTTCTGCCACGTGCCCTCCAGCCCCGGCTTCCACCAGCTGGACTGCGTCACCTGGCGCCCGCTGGGATCTTGGCAGGAGCAGCTGTCCCAGTGTTTTGTGGGAGGGGGCCCGCAGCTCATCAGCAGCGACCTGATCTACACGGGGGCCGACCGCTACCGCCTGCAGACCAGCGCCATGGGCACCGTGCACTTCCAGCTGGCTGTGCTACTCCGTAACTTCGACCGCTATGGGGTGGAATGCTGAGAGCCGAGGACGGAGCCCCTTCGCTGGGCTTTGGAGGTGGAAGATGGGGCCGGTGATGATCCAGGGCACGGCACGGAGGCAGCACAAACCGCCCCTTTCTTGCTCCAAATTTCCCCCAAACGCATTTCTGGCAAGTCCCAGAACAGATTGATAACAAATCCCCAACACAAACCTCAAAGGCTGCAATTAGCCCAGCACTGTCTGCACCAAGGCTGCACGGCAAGGAACCCCAAATGTATTTGGCAAAACGAGAATAGATCAAGGAGTTCAGGGAGCAAAAGATCCAGGGAATCAGTCCAGAACGCCAAACGGAATGCAAGAACTCCCAACGAACGCCCTCCCCACGGCATTTCCTTAAGTCTCATTCCCCAGGTGTGCCTTGTGAAGGTGGGAGGGGCACACTCCTCCCAAGTAGCCTGCTCCGTCTGCGCTGATCACGCCTTCTCTGCACTCTCCGGGCTCTTGGATCAGGAGGAGGTGGTTCTTGCTCCTCGCCTGAGCTCTGCCTCTCCTGTTCATCCTTATGTCTTCCGGAAAGCCTTTCTTGGACCGACTCTGCCCTTCCTTTCCCCAGTTTCCTCCAAGGCCAAAGGAGCTGCCCTTTTCATTGCTGTCAGATCTTGTTCCAGCTGGATGGGGAGGGGGGCATGACAGGTCTGTGACTCCCCAAAGTTCAGGAATCGGAAGGACTTGGGGTGAAAGGGTGGCTGCCCTCTCCCCCACCTGCTCTGGGAAGAAAGAACACACACCCCCACCCCACCCCGTTTGACCTGCGAGAATCACAAGCCATAACTCTGAACTTTGAGCTCTGTTTTTGCAACCCAAGCTGCGATTCGTTGTTGGGCCCCGGGCTCGTTTTTCTAGTTCCTGATTTCCCTTCCGAGGGGCAGTTTTCAACTTTGGTGATGGTGCTTCTTTCAATCCCATTTGATTCAGTTTTCTTGCATGGAGTTTTTGGGTGCTTGTTCTTCTGTTTTCTCAAGGAGGAAAAAAATATATATCTATTTTCTCATGAACTTTTAATTGGTTTTCTGTGTGTGTTTGTTTAAAAAAAAAAAACCCGCTCCTAATGAAAATGCCAGCAGTCTTTCCGTCAACAGTGATCCCGGGCCCCCTGTAGGAGGGGGTGCAATATTTTTCTTCTTCAAATTTGGCAACTTTAAAGGTCTGTGGACTTTCAATTCCCAGAATTCCATTAGCTGGCTAGGGAATTCTGGGAACTGCAGTCCAGACCTCTTAAAGGAGCTGAGTTTCGCACTGGGGTAACAAAGCTTACCTTTTTATTTGGGAGAAATGAAAATTATCAGATTTAATAGCCTAAATTTGGTCCTATCTTGAGATGCTATAAGAGAGTTGTAATTCTGGCTGTAGCCAGGAGAGGTCACCAAAGCTGTAGTTTTGACAAAACAAGATAGTTACTTTAGATAGATAGATAGATAGATAGATAGATAGATAGATAGATAGATAGATAGATAGATAGATAGATAGATAGATAGATAGAT